TTTTAATACTTCTAACAGCCCTGCAACGAGAGACAAGGTTTGAAAGTTTGAAGAGGGACCAGCCTGACACTAAGCATGAAACCCTGGTGCTGGACTCAGAAATAGGAAACAAGGTTTCTACCACTGCCTGACTCCCCTTTCGCAACTATTCCTGGGAAGAATAAAGTGTATCTCAAAGACACGCACACACATACCTCCCCTTCAGGCAAGTCACCTTTTTGTACACCCACCCACCACTGCATAAAAAACAGAGATTGCCTCATGATGCTTGAATAAACACACTCACTGTATTGCAAGAACTAACGAGGAAAGAGACGGAGCCGAGAATCATCCGGAGAGGCAGAGAATCCCCTCTCCAGCCAAAGGTTTTTTAGAATTTTTTTTGCTAGGCATATTTCTTGGAAGTGCACAGAGCCTGGGAAAGAACAGAGACGCCCCCTCCCTCCCTCCTTCCTTCTCTCACCTGCCAAGGAGATCGGCCATGGAGCGGAACCGGCCGGCCTCACAGGCAGCATCCTCCTTGGCCTGCGTTAGTCTGTCTTCCTCATCCTTCAGCTCCTGGACCTTCCGCTCAAGGGAACGCTGTTCATTGTCGCTTTCTGCCAGCTGCTTCTTCAGGGACAACATCAAGTCTTGGGTGGCTTCGTATTTTCCCCGGAGGTCCTGCCACAACAAAGACGGTCAAGCCCAGGCTTGAAGGGGGCGCCAGAAGAGCCTCCCAGCCTTCTTCCGCTCACTGCTCTCTCCAGCGGGTGTCCGTGGCCCTCTTGGGCTCCCTTCGCTCTTCTTGGCAAGGACGGGGGTCCCGGCTCCCTTCCTCACCTGAAGCTGCCGCTGCCGCTTCTGCAGGGCGGACTGCACCAGGGCCAAGGTGGCCTCTGAGAAGACGGGGGAGAGGCTGCGGCGGGGAGATGAGCCGCGCCTTGGGGAAGACCGCCGCCGCGGGGAGGGGGTCCGGAGGCTCGAGGACAAGCCGTGCAAGCTGAGGCTGGTGGCATCGCTGTCAGAAGCCTCCGTGAGCCGGTCGGCTGCCGGGAGGTGGATGGCGCTGTCAGTGTCAGAGATCACTGCCTGCAGGACAAAGCAGGGAAGAAGCCCAGGGTGGGGCCACTTGAAAGGGACTCCTCGCGCCCCCCCCCAGCTCCCCAATCCACTTGACAGACAGACAGGCCGGACAGGCCATTTACGTTTGTGCTACTGATGGCCACCACCAACCAACGAGGAAGGCAAGCGTCCTTCTTATCTCCTTCCTGCCGCCCTCCGTACCTGAGCCAGGTCTCGAAGGGTCTGCTGCAGCATCTCCGACTCTGTTCGCAAGGCTTCCATCTCCTCCGTTTCTGCCGCCCTCTGGTCCTGGACACGAGATGCTTCCTAGAAGGAGAAACAGGAAAGCAGGCAAATTAAGATGGGAGTCTCTGGCCTCTGGATCTCCCGCCTGCCGCCTTCTGCACTTGCTCCTCCTGGACGGCCCAAACAGGGCCCAGCGGCAACTCCCTCTTGGACTGCCACTCATCGCTCCCCCACCCCATCCCCCGACCTGCCTCAGTCCTAGGCCTGGTCCCTCCTTCTCTCACCAAGGTCTCCAGCTTCTGGGTCAGCATCTCAATGGTCTTGCTCTTCTCTGCATTCTGGCCTTTCAAGCGCTCCAAGCTGGACGTGACCTCATTGATTCTGATGTCAGGACAGAAGGCCAAGAAGAAGGCTGGCATTAGCAGTACCCCACCGAGACAGCTCTTGGGTGCCTCCCGCCCAGGGGAGCTAAAGTTGACTCACAACTCCTCTTGATCTGTGGGGGTGGTGGTGGTGATGGCCTCTGGAAGCTCCCAGGAGCTTCAGCACTTTCCTCCCGAGCGGAATCTGCTCTCTCTCTCTGGGCTCCTGGGGCACACGACGTGGGCTCTGCCAGCTGACTCGGTTTCCCACCTCTCAAAGACAGCAACAGCCTTTCCTTCTTTGGGACTTTGAACTTGGGAGCCCCTAGAGTCCCCTACTTGCCGGGGGGGGGGCAGAATCCTTTGCATACGCAGCCCCTTCCCCGGGAGCCTGTCTACGCAAAGCACACCTTCTGCCTCTCCATTCCCAGCCCTCCCGATCCTGCTGCCCCCCTCCTCCTGGTGCCTGACCCCAATTCCCACCTGCTGCTGAGTTCTGCCTTCTCCAGGTCACAGCGGACCTGGAGCTGGATCATATCGCGGACCTTGTCCTTGAGCTGCTCCTCCAGCTGAGCGGTCAGCAGCACCTGCTTCTCTAGGGCTGCGCTGGCACTGCTCTCCGAGAGGCGCACGTGGCTCCCCAGGTTGAGGCAGGCAGCGTGCACCGTGCGGCTGGAGCGGGACAGGTCATGCCTCATTTCAGAGAGGTCCCTGCCAAGGAAAGAAGCCAAGGCACACGTCGGCAGGGGGACGGGCGGCATGGGCTGCACCGCCAACCTGCCAGGCCACACTGGGGAAGGGGCAGCACCGCTCTGAAGCCTCACCCAAGCTCAGCCCGGGCATAGGGGGTGCCCATTCGCTGCCTAATGGGCAGAAGGGAAGGCTCCCCCGGTGGTCCAAGGGACCTTTGGCAGGCGAGACTGTCACCTTCAGGCTCGCTTGAGTCGGCAGCAGGGAGGAGGGGCAGCCGCCCTCCCTGGCCAAGCACTGACCTCTCTGTCATGGTCTTCATCTCACTGAAATGCCTCCTGAAGCCCACCAACTGCCGCCAGAGGGTGAGCAGCCGGTTGTGTTCGTTGCTGAAGTACGTGTTAAAAGACTTCAGAGGGGAAAGACAGAGAAAGAAAGGGAGAGAGAGAGAGAATCACACAGATCAGCAGAAAATCAAAAGAACCTGTGCAGACATGGCTCTGGGCAAAAAGAGGGAAAGAGTTAGAGGTCGAACAGATATTGCAGGTTCCTGCAAAGACCTGTTCACCTATCTCACCAAAATGCATGGAGGAAAGATCATCCTTGGAAAGGGAAGCCTCTCTCTCTCTCTCTCTCTCTCTCTCTCTCTCTCTCACACACACACACACACACACACACACACACACACACACACACACACACACACACACACACACACAGAGAGGTGCCAAAGACCTTCAGCCCTTGACTTCTCCACCCCACACATATGACTTATTGTGTCCCGCTCTCCGAAGGGAACCTGCCCCCCCCCTCTGACGCCAGAAGCCTTAGGACTCCAACCTCCTCTTCTCGTCTCCACTCGGCCTCCCGCTGCTCCAGCTCCTCCCGTGCTTTCGTCCAGTCCGTCGTCAGCTTCCGGATGTCCTCGCTGAGGGCCTGGTTAGCCGTGTTGGCTTGGTCCAGCTGTTCCCTCAGCATGGCATTCACCTGGGCCAGGCTGGCACTCCTGGAGGCAAAGGGGCAACAAGCAGGCCCATTATCAGTCTCAGGCTGGCACATCCAGAAAGGAGTTATTTAGGGACCAAGCCTGCCAGGCCAGGGACAAGAAAGATAAGAAATCCCCTGGAGTCTTGCAAGTGCCTGCACTCCACCACAAACGCACTGAGACTGAACAGAGCGGGAAGGAGAGAGCACAAAGTTGTGAATGGGCGACCAAGGGATCAGAGGGATCAGAGGGAGGAGGCAGGGCCTGAGGAGTGATTAGTCTGAGTGAGAAGGATGGTCGTGAGGGGTTGCGAGGCTGCCGTGGTCTCCTCTGCCTGCTCAGATCATTCTCTTTACAAACTAGTGTAGCGTTCACCCTGGTTATGTGATAAGCAATGTCCTGTTGATGAGTTATAAGCTAATGTGGTTAAGAGGTGAGGCCACAAGAGAGGTTCAAAGGCGTCGCCTGAGAGAGGAGAAGTCAGTTGAGTCGAGTCGAGTCGGGCTGTCTTAGGGATCAGAGGGAGGAGGCGGGGCCTGAGGAGTGATTAGTCTGAGTGAGAACTGTGGTAATTAGTACAGAAGAATAAAACTGAGGCTAGATAAACCTAAGGAATGTGCTTATGAATTGTTCCAGAAACCAACTGTAATCAAGAAACCTGTTCTATTAAAAAATCAGTACTAACTGGACCTTCATCTTTGCTGAGGAAAATAAGTTGATGAAGAGATCAACTGGTGGCAGTGCGTCAAGAGGTTTTGAGTTTGCCTTTCTGAGACCTGTATTTGGGGAGACGAAGAGGGGCCACGAGGGGCAAACGCCACAATTGGGTGTCCAGGAGCCGGATACGAAGCAATCCGGTCAAGCCAGAAGTTTGAAAGTGAATTTTTTGAGTCATGGGTACCTTTTTAGTCAAAGGTCTGTGGTGAAGAACTGGGTGACCTGCTAGAGCTTTTGTGGAAAAGCTTAGTGGTGGGGCTTCTGATCCCAGATCTGGGGGAACTAAAGATTGGGAATGACTCTGAAGGAAAAACTCCTGTTATTTACCTCAGAATTTGAGAGAGGTAGCTTAAAATCCAAGGCTCTGAAAGTTAAGGGAGCGCTTGTGGATAAAAGTGGAAGCCAGAGGTCAGAACAGATCTGAGGTGATAGAAAAACCCAAGCAGAGGTTTGAGAAATAAAATTATTTTGGCGTCTGAGAGCAGGGATAGCTGAGACATAGAGAGACACAGTTACTTAAGGTTGTTAGCTGGAGAACAGCCAGAAAGAGCTCCTGAGGGAAGAGCAACAACAATACTAGTTACTGGCATTCAAACAGAAAAACAGGTTCTTTTTAAAATCTGTACAAACACTCAAGACTAATTCTCTCAGAAGTACACATTCTCTTGAGCAGATGAAAAATGTATTAGAACAATTTTATTCTATTTTGCCTAGGGAATTTTGTTACTTAGTTAAACACAAAACTCCTAGAAATGTAATAGAAGCAGGCGAGAATTTTGTTACTTAAAGACAAAACTCCTAGAAATTTAATAGAAGCAGGTGAAAATGCAGATTCTATAAGTGAGATACAAAACCCCAGGTTCTCTGAGGTAAAATTTAACAGGCAAAACTAGGACAACAATAAGAGACCCTTCAATAAAAATTACCTCAGAATCACATCAGGGAAAGAAGGCCATAGTAGCGCCTCGCATGAGTTGCCAGGGCTTAGTCCATAGAAGTAAATGAACTCTGAGGAAAAGTTTAACAGATCTCCTCAGAATGAGAGAAGGACTTATGGACAGTGCTATAACTGCAGCAAGTTTGGGTATGGAAAACAAAAATAAAAATGGAAAAGAGGATGGACAGACCATCCTGGTTACAAACTGTGGAAACCACTGAAGGAGACTGTAACGATGGTGGTTCTGTCTCCATGGCAACTGGCACTAGCCAGGGCCGTTCCATGTTTTCTTGTAAAGACAGAAAATATTTCACTACAGAACCCTGGTGAGGAAATTCTTATTAATGAGAAAGTCTTCTGTGGGAGTGGTTTGATACCTGCTCCAACATGACCCTGTGTCATCCTGATGTGGTTCCTAAAGAACAAATACTTCCAAACCAAACTGTTACAATCAAGGGAATAAGCTCTACTCCAGTGATTTTACCTACGGCTAAAGTAAAGATAAACTATAGAGACTGGGTTGGAATTTGGGATGTGGCAATTTCTGATCAAATTCATCAGGCTAGATCTCACTAAGCATGTGCAGAGTGCTTTTGGAGGTAACATGTATCCTGGGAGAGCAGTGTCTCAGGGGGTTTTTAGTTTGCCTTTTGTGAGCTCTGTGTTTCAGGAGAGCAACAGTCACAAACGTCACAAACTAGCCTTTGCTGCTCTTCCTCCAGACGGATCAAGGCGTTCTCTAGGTTGTTGCTGTGCTCCTCGTCCTGCTGGAGGCGTGACTCCGTGATGTCCAAAGAGCTCTACAGAGGTGGGAAAGGAGAGAAGCAGCCGCCAGTTAACACACACGGGGACCAAAGGGAGATTCACTCCGGGACCCGACACCCTACTGGATCACGCAAAGCAATCCAAGGGAGCAAAGGTGATCTGAGAAGGGATGATTCGAGCCTAGATGGTCTCTCCCCTTCCCCCATGACCAGAATTCACAACCCTTTCACGTGTGCAAAGTGGAGGGATTTTAAGCATGTGCAGAAGACTCTCTCAGACCCCTCTCTTTCCAATATCTGGAGTTACAATTTGGAATAGATTTTAAACATTCCCACGATCCTGTTTCCATGGTCCTTCACTCCATACTTGCTTAAGGAATGGCCTCCTCACCTCCCCCCCCGTGATCCTACTCCCCTGGAGGCAGGGAGCACTGACCACTAGCCGCTGCTGCTCCAGCTCAGAAGATTTCTCCAGCAGCTGCTGCTCTTGCTCCCCACATTTCTTCTTGTACTGGACCACCTGGAAGGAAGGCGAGAAAGATGGAAAAGGTGACCCTCGGGAGCCTAGAACAGTCCTGGGTCTACTCCTCCCCTGGGCCTCCCTATGGACCCACCTTCTTTCTGAAAAAGGAAACAGGCTCTGGATACCTCCTGGTCAGGGCACCGCCTGCCTCAAAATAAACCCTGGGGGGGAGGGGGGGCAGCCTGTGATCACCCCATCCTTTCCGAAGACTGGCCGTGGGAAGGTCTCTCTGCAAGGGACCCTCCCAGTCAGAAGCAGGCAGCGGGAAAGAGGCCGGTCAAGCCTCGCCCTCCACCAGGGCTGGCCAAGCCACCTGGGACTCAGGTATGAACGGAGAGTCCTTTGGAACGGAGCCCATCCCCCCCTCGCTCCGTCTCAGTGGGTCTCCCTTCTGCCATGGGAAAAGGGGTGCTGGACCCACATCGCAGGGGTGTTCTCAGGTGGGGAAACCGCGCAGGTCAGCCCAAGGGAGGGGAAGAGAGGGGGAGGGGAAGGGGGGGTTTCCCACCTTGACCTGGAGCTTCTGCACCAGCTGGGCCTGGCGCTGCTGCCCCTCTTGGTAGGCCTGCAGCTTGCGCTTGTAGGCGGCTTGCTCCTCGTCTAGGCGCCGGCGCAGCTCCAGGTTCTGCTGGGCCAGGCTCTGGTTCTCCAGCAGCTCCTGCTCCCTCTGGCCCGTCTCCAGGTGCAGGGCCTGCTCCAGCTGAGCAGAGGGCCAGCGATGGAGGAGGAAAGAGAAGGGGAGCAGAGTGAGGGAGGGATCGGCTGAACAACCCTCCTCCATCAAGGACTGGGGGGGGGGGG